CTGTGTTCAGTGTTCAGTGTTCAGTGTGTTCTGTGTTGAGTGTTCTGTGTTCAGTGTTCAGTGTGTTCAGTGTATTCAGTGTATTCAGTGTGTTCAGTGTGTTCAGTGTGTTCAGTGTTCAGTGTGTTCTGTGTGTTCTGTGTGTTCAGTGTTTAGTGTGTTGTGTGTTCAGTGTGTTCTGTGTTCAGTGTTCAGTGTGTTCAGTGTGTTCAGTGTGTTCAGTGTGTTCAGTGTGTTCAGTGTGTTCTGTGTGTTCAGTGTGTTCAGTGTGTTCAGTGTGTTCTGTGTGTTCAGTGTATTCAGTGTGTTCTGTGTGTTCTGTGTGTTCTGTGTATTCAGTGTGTTCAGTGTTCTCTCCAGCGGGTGTCGCCATCGAGCGCTTTGAAACAATGTATCGTTTTGACCTGGAGATTCGAAAAGCTCCGTTTCTCACATCACTGATTTGACGAATGTGTGTTTATAATCAACTGATTCATGATTTAGTGAGCTAAATGAGACGCACCTTTTCTGTTACTCACACGTAGACGCGCTCAGACAAAATAACCTGCATTGATGTGCATTTCACTTAAACCATTACAATGTTTTATAATGTAATCAATAATAAATAATTAATTTTAGATCACTTGTTAAAACTATAAAATAGACTGAACAATTTGCATACATTTTTTTAACACTTTGATTAGCTAAAAACCACAAACCTTTCTTCAGCCGAGCCACAACAGACCCAGAACCGCGTCGCGTCCTAATGACGTCACATATCCAAACCGAAATAAAAGTCCTATTTAAACGTGTAAAGCGATTACTGACACAAAAAATCTATTTTTTATTTATTTAGAATTTTATCTACAAATTCTAAAACATGTGTCAGCGGGATGCAGAGTTGAATTGTTGTTGAAATACATATTGATTGATATTTTTCCCTTCGGATACACAGAGAAACAAGGTTTATCTTCATTAGGGTCACAGACACTATAACACATGTTTTTACGTTCAATAGATAACAGGATGCATATCACAATTTGACAGCAGAAAAACAAATTAAT